GGTGCTGATGACTGTCGCTGGGTGGGGAGGTGCTGGGTGGTGAGATGTGGCTGGTGACTTTCACTGGGTGGTGAGGTGGTGCTGGTTGATGTCGCTGGGTGGAGAGGTAGTGCTGGTGACTTCCGCTGGATGGGGGGTGCTGGTGACTTTCGCTGGGTGGAGGGGGGTGCTAGTGACTGTCGCTGGGTGGAGAGGTGGTGCTGGTGACTTTCGCTGGGTGGTGAGGTGGTTCTAGTGACTGTCGCTGGGTGTTGAGGTGGTGGTGATGACTGTCGCTGGGTGTGAAGGTGGGCTGATGAATCTCGCTGGTTGGGGAGGTGGGGCTGGTGACTGTCGCTAGGTAGGGATGTGGGACTGGTGACTGTCGCTGGGTGGTGAGGTACTGGGTGGGGAGGTGGTGCTGGTGACTGTCGCTGGAGGGGGAGGGGGTAGTGCTGGTGACTATCGCTAGGTGGAGAGGTGGTGCTGATGTCTGTAGCTGGCTGGAGAGGTGGTGCTGGTGACTGTCGCCGGGTGGAGAGGTGGTGCTAGTGACTGTCGCTGGGCGGTGAGGTGTCGCTGGGTGGTGAGGTGGGGCAGGTGACTGTCGCTGGGTAGGGAGGTGCTAGGTGGCAATGTGGGGCTGATGACTGTCGCTGGGTGGGAAGGTTGTGCTGGTGGCTGTCGCTGGGTGGTGAGATGGGACTGGTGACTGTCGCTGGGTGGAGAGGTTGGGCTGTTGACTGTCGCTGGGTGGGGAGGTGCTGGGTGGGGAAGTGGGGATGGTGACTTTCGCTGAGTGGGGAGGTGGTGCAGATGACTGTCGCTTGGTGGAGAGGTGGTGCTAGTGACTGTCGCTGCGTGGTGAGGTGGGGCAGGTGACTGTCGCTGGGTGGGGAGGTGGGACTGACGACTGTCGCTAGGTGGAGAGGTTAGGCTGGCGACTGTCGCTGAGTGGGGAGGTGCTGGGTGGGGAGATGGGGCTAGTGACTGTCGCTGGGTGGGGAGGTGCTGTGTGGGAAGGTTGTGCTGGTGGCTGTCGCTGGGTGGTGAGATGGGACTGGTGACTGTCGCTGGGTGGAGAGGTTGTTCTGCTGATTGTCGCTCGGTTGGGAGGTGCTTGGTGGGGAGGTGGGGCTTGTGACTTTCGATGGGTGGAGTGGTGGTGCTGATGACTGTCGCTGGGTGGGGAGGTGCTGGGTGGTGAGGTGTGGCTGTTGACTTTCACTGGGAGGTGAGGTGGTGCTGGTTGATGTCGCTGGGTGGAGAGGTGATGCTGGTGACTTTCGCTGGGTGGA